AGTACAGGAGGTTGATGGAGAAAGCTGAGGAGTATTATCGGAATAGTTCATTACAATCTAGGGCAAGGTATCCAGTGTTTGTGTTATTTGCATTCCATATTTATTTTTAGATTGATTATTTCTATATTCCAATTGCAATAGTTTGATATCTGATCTCACGGGCTCCGTTGTGGTTTAGTATTGATTTCAAGCTAATTATAATATGCCTGTAAGGGTTACAAACAATTGAATTTGGGGAAGTGCATGTTGATAAATTCTATTAAACCCACATATAATATCAGGATTGATTGTTGTTTGGAAGATTCAATGACTCTTCTGCAGTTTTCTGCAGTAAGAAATTTTGCCTTCTCGCTTTCTGTTTATGGTTACCATCTAATGAACAAGCTATGGCCTTTACATCAGGGAAACATAGAGATTAGTTCGTTATTAAAGAATGCAACTTTCTTTTTGCTCCTTCAAGCTTATTTATTGGTAGCGCCTTTTTCCTTTTGCTTGAGTTGTACCCATGAATAATCTTTGGCCATTGTAACATGCTGCATTGTAACATGCTGCTCTTGATGCAGTGAAATGCTGAGCTCTCCTGTTAGACGTATAGATGAGATTCTTGCACTTCCTCATTTAGCTGATGATTTCAAGGTTCAGGAGCTTCCTCCATCAGATGATGATTCTTGGCTTTATGGTGGGGAAGATGAGCTAAATGCTGCTCTTCAGGAGAGACAAAAGGAGATGGAACTTTATGATTTGAAGAATAAGAAGAAACAGAAGTCAAAAGAGCAGCAGGATGGGGATCCAGCTTCTACCAAAGATTTGGAGGAGTATGATCTTGGAGATATAGCTAAATCTATGCAAGCGTTTGTTAAGAAAGTTTCGAGTTATAAAGGAGCTGAGGTTCCGGAAAACCGGTTAGTGTACCTTTAATCGTCTCATGTTTCTTTTAGAGTCATGGAAGGTTTCATTTTTGAGCTCACAAACTAGATGAGAATCAGAACTCCTGTTTTCCTCGACCCGGAGAAATATTGATAGTGTATTGAAACTGATGATCTTAGGATGTTAATAGTACACTTCTTAGTCATTCAGTTGTTACCAATAAAGGATATACATTTATATATTCCTAATTTAACTTAATTTATTTTGCATATTGAATTGTTCTGTCATTAATTTAATGTGGTAGTATGAGCGAAAACTCATGATGCTTTGAGTAGTTGTTTCCCATCAGGTCAACCTTTGTTCAACTTGACGTTGCTGTGATTATAAATCTTTTACTTCTCTTTCCTGGATATGGGTCGTTAATGCCCGTCTCTACCAATATGTTGCATTGACTAATGCCTTTTAAATATATTACCTACTTTTATGCATCACTATAATATATTAAGGAGTTTTTAACATAAAATTATTTCATCTTCCCCAGATTTTCTCTCACTTTGAATGATCATAACTAGAGGATGATATGACTGTTATTCCTTTTTCTAGTTTCTTAATTATTTTTTAAAAAAATGGAATGGGCTGCTATTGAGTAAGAATATAACCTGTTGATATCCCTTTCACAGTGAACTTTTGGCAGTGTCTACTATAATTGTCTTATCACTCTTCATTAAAGCAAAAAGGGGAGGATTAATGGGCTCTTATTGATTGAAGGAATTAGTATGGTCTAAATAATTTTGATGCACTCATGTTGGAGTGGCCAATGTTTCATGGATGTTGCAGTTGATGCTTGTAATGCTCTCCCACTACCACATTTTTAGTTTTTTGGCAGCTCTTATTTTGTTCTCTGCGAGTACAGGAACTTTCCTTTCTCTTCCTTTGGTCTATGCTTTTTCTTTTCCTATTTTATCATTATGCTTTTGCCTTTTTCTCATTTCTAGGTGCCTATGTATCCATTGCAATCCTAGTTTTAAAGGAACCCTTATAAGGCTATGCCATCCCGAGAGAACAATGTGGAGTGTTGGACCTATCCCTTCTGGCAATTCACTTCTCTTGCCTTTGTGATAATTGTGGATACTCTAATAGCTGAAGTGATATACTAATTATGTGGTGATATATGTTTATAAATTTGAAATGTTAAGGCTCTCCCTGTCTTTGATGTGAATTCTGTTTCAAGTTGTGTTCAATAAATACAATTTTTGTCTTGTATGCATAATCTTATTTGCTTCTTTTTGCTAGGAACATGAAAGATGTGAATTTTGATGTGGATCAATTTGTGAAAGATATGGAATCAGTAATGAGACAACGTGGTTCAGGAGATACTGATAGCGATCCTGATCTTGAAGAAGAGCCATTATCGGACATGGATTTTGGTAATTTTTTGAATTCCTGCTTATATATTGAGCCGACTGATATTTGATATAGATACAAATTATTGTTAATTTAGTTATTGTCTTTGCAATTACTTCTTGTTGGCTCTATAAGTTGACAATAAACTATCCTGATGCCTTTTGCTTTTATTTGTTAAAAAGTAGCACACCATTACCATCATATTACTATCATTTGTTTCTATATAATCCATGTTCCTATCCATGCTAAAACTTTTGTAACTTTTAATATTTCTACTTTCTTTGATAAGCGTACTTTATGTCTCTAACTCCCCATTGCCGATAAATTTCCTTCGCCTCCTCAAATTGTAAGACTTCTCGATCATGTATGTGATTTTCGAAAGAGAATTATCCAATTCTGTATCTATCGTTTGGGGATGTATTTTTTACCTTCATGTCAAATCTAAAATGTACAAGATGGCGAGTGTGGAGAAGCAAAGGTGGCTATAATCCTTTAGCTCTTGATTTTCGGTATCTTTATATCTATCGAGTCACTAAAATCATCCGAGAAGCTATTCCTTGATGCTACCATAGGTTCACTATAATGTAACTGGGTGCAATTTAAATGCTGAAAATTGTCTGTCAGTGTTTTTAGTACTGCTAAATACGGTGATTTGGTGTATAACTCAAAAATGCAGATGAGTCTGATGATGAGAGTGTGATTTCCGAGGATAATGAAGACACAGGAGATACTTTCATGCAATCCTATTCAGATGCTCTGAATGAAGAACTGAAGGCCACCACACTCAAGAAGACTTTTGTCCGTGCAAATGAACAATCCGTGCAGAAGAAGGATGAGGTTGGTGTTTTTAAAATCATTATACAAGAGCCAAAAGTTGAATTGATGCATTAATTTTTACGTAGATTTTCTTTAACCAACTAGCTTCACTTAACTGAGCTCTTGCAAATGTACACAAGCTGAATTTTACAAGATGTGAGATAGCCGAAATATGTTTTACATAGGCATAAGCTTATTAAGTTTACTTATAAGTAAATATGTTAGTTTTAAAATAAATAAATTGGTCAAAGTTGGAAATAAGTTATGCTTATTTTGACAAAAATATGAAAGATACTTGAAAAAATGTAACCTTCTCTTGTTTTAAAGTAAGTAAGAGAGTAAATTAACCTATCACATTTTGAAATAAAAAATTGCTTAAGTTAAAATTGTAACTTTACCTTTTTATCTTCTCTTAGTGAAACATGCTCATTCATGATGTGCGTTCCAATATTATCTTTTCATAAATTCCCCAGTTTGATTTGGATGAAATTTTTGTCCTTCAAAATCTATTTTTTCCCCGACTATATGGACAACAATTAATCTAAAAAATTGCAGGGAACTTCTAATGCCATGGAGGAGATGACAGAGTTCACTCCGGTGGATGTAGATATCAACCTTGTGCAAAATTTGCTCGATTCTTTTTCTACTCAACAAGGACTTCCTGGCCCTGCTTCCAATTTGCTAGGACTAATGGGTTTAAAGCTTCCTGATGATTCTGGCCAAGGCAAATAATTTTCTCTGCCTTCCGTTTATCCACTTTAGTATTTCTGTTAATCTCAGAAGTTTTGTTACGGCGTAGCCATATATATCAGACACATCCACGATCTTGATTGTGCATACTGAGTTAGATGCATTTCCTAGTCGGTGTGTAAAAACTTGTAATGTATTTGTTCGTTTGAATTATGCTCACAACTCATGTTTTCACAATTAATGGCCAAGGACATAATGGTAAAGTATGGCTACGCTGGATCATGTTTTATGTACAAAGTGATAGATGAAAGATTGTTTTTCCCATCACTTTTGTACTTGAAATGATGCTGAGGAATCTCCCTTGCGCCGTGTGGAGTTCAGAAGGGGTGATAGCAGAGTCTGTTTTGAATGTACTCATTTTTCTAGCTTGAGAAATGTCGTGGCAAGTTTTAGCTATGCCCTTGTTGTTTGGAAGCTGTTTATAAGGGTCTGTTTGGTAGGACTTTTGATTTTGCTTGTTGAAGTAGTCCTTAGACGAGCTTTCTTTAAAAGCTGTTATAATCAGAGGATACTCTTGATCTCCAAGTTGCCATCGAACTTTTCCAAATGTATCTTAGTTGCTATTGTACTTTAATAGTTTTTCGAATTGTTATTGAACTTACGGAAGTGCTATTGAACTTTATATAAGCCCGTTTGGTCTTGATTTTTCTGTGGCTATACATCAACACCAACGCGGCACAATCATCCAATTAGAATCTCACATTCATTATAAAAATCAGTTCCAGTCAAAATGTTAACCCAACAACAAAAATTGAGATGGAGGAAGGATTTAAATCTAGTTTCAGATTATAAATGGAATTAGCGTCGCCAGCAGGTGGTCATTTGGAATTCGAAAGAAAGCAAGGCGGTGAGGGCAATTTTCGCTATGAAATATGCTATTTGTATATAATAGATATCCATAATGGTGTTCATCCCCTCACATGAATGAAGGCTGAGTTTGGATAAATTATTTTTTTATTTGAAGTGGATCCCCCTCCAAATGAAGGGGGTGGACACCTTAATGTATGTGTAAAATCACACTTTCACTATATATATTATAATTATTTTTTTAAAATTTTTATGAATACTGCTATTTGTACACAATGGTTTACATACATATGAGACGTCAAAAAGTAAGTGGAGAATTTTTTATTTTTTAGTTGAAGAAATCCTAATCCAATCATACCTTACGACACCATATATATGTAAATCATTATATAAATCATTATGTACATGTAGCGCGATCATTTAATTATTATGTTTTATAAGATGCATTAGATAGTATAAAACAACATTTATAAATTTAGTAATAATGTCTTTTACGTGAAATAAATTCAGAGCGAGCGATTGCCTTTCCACAGAAAGATGGACTAGCTAGGCGGACCATGATGGAAGGTCAGCGACAGGGATAGAGAAATTATTACAATTTCTATTCTTTAACACGTAACACATCTTATATAAATATATTGCAATCTTTGAAATAAAAGTTACTTAAACAAAAAATGTGTACATCTAATTAATTTTTTTTTTTTTTTTTTTTTACACTAGGTAAATAAATTTGTTAATACTTCAAGGTTAAAATAAATTTATATGAAAAAAGAATTAAAAAAACGCTTGACACAATATATTATCTTAAACAGAAGAATATATGGGCTTCAAATTGCTCGTAATTTGTCGTTGAACGAATAAACCAAACTCCCATTTAGATAGAAATTGACACAAAAAGGTGAGATAATGAAACTGAAAAACTAAACATATATAAGGATCAAACTCAAAATACAGTACCACAATATTCTATACAAGACATTTTCTTTAATTTTACAATCAATAAGTATATATTATAAAACAAATTCTGGACCCCCAACAACTTTGTGCCCGATGCGGTCGTCTCTTGGTCCTCGCCTCAGGTTCGGGTATGACTGGGGCTGCCGTTGCGTCATTTCTATTAATAATACTTCTCACTCTCCAACCTTTCACGTGGTGTGATTATGGGTTTTCAATCTTCAAAAGTGGGAATCTAAGTTTTCATCCTATTTCAATTTGTAAATCTACATAACCTCGTGATCGAAACCATCATGTGAACGTTAAAATTACATGCGACAAAGAGTTGGTTGTCAAAATATTTAAAATTTGTTTCCAATTTAATTGAAAGTTGTGCGATCTTGCATTACCATTGACCATTTCAATCACATGAGAAACCAGATTGCGATGGAGGGAAGTGACGTCCCTGGCCCCACAGAAATTTGATAGTTTTTTATAAAACCCATTTTTTTTTTCTTTTTTTAATGAAAAGAAGGAATGAGAGGTAAAAGTAAAATTATTTCTTGCATCATAGTCCGTTTAAATGGTTTCGCATTTCTAGCTCGAGGCATGTCATTTAGCTATGCGTTCGCGGTTCAAAAACAATAATCATTTTTGATACATCAATCCCACTACACATACTTGTCGCTTGACTTGTTGGGTTACACGCTGACGTGTCCAAGAAAAGAAATAAACAGGTCTAGTCTTTTGAACCGGCCCCAAATGCATCAAAACCCACCGCTATTTCAATCTCAGCTCAAACCCTACCACTATTTCCCCTCACAGTTGCCTCGCCCCAAATGCAAAAAACCTCTCACGAATCAACTCATACGAGGAGATCTAAAGCTACAAGATTGAAGCCCACCTTACGCAGCAGAATCGACCGTCACTAAGGCCTTCTTCTCCGGCAAAGTATCCGTCTGTAGGGGTTCCAGCCTCGCCTCGATTTCGTCAAATTTCAGCTTCGCCTCTCCACTTCACGATCATTTGCAGGACCCTGAAGGTGCATTTCTTATACTTTATGTGATAGAAACAATTATATAAATATTCATCTTTTTTGCTTATCGTAGCTTGATGCTTTGATTGGCTCGTTGAATTCGAAGGGTGAGAGGGAAGGAGCTCTTAAAAAGCAGCATGAGAAAAACTACAACAAAATAAAGTAAGTTGTTCATGACCTTGTACAAAAATTGTTACTTTCTCATTTTTCATGCCTCAAGTAAGGGGTGGAGGGGTGGCATGGGGAGGGGGAAGTGGGAGAAAGCAAAATGTGGGTGTGAATTCTCGTGAGTTTAGCCATTATTGATTGCTAAACTGAACATTAAACTTGTGTCTTGTCCCGGGCAAAAAGTAAGCTATCATGGTTTGCTGTAGATCTTTATATTTATATGTGGTTTAATATTGAACAATATGAATATTATTGCCTTTTGCTCTGGAAGTTATTTTTTGATTTATTTTGCTGCAATTTTACTTCTGTTGGTTTTCTGTGCCGTGCAAATTTCTTTTTCTTATCAGTCAAAAGTTGTTTTTTCTCTTTTGATTGGCTTTTTACATCCTCAGTTGAGAATTAACATTGCACTCTGGTGAAACTAGCCAATCATTTTCACTAGTTGCATACTATATGAGACTGTTTAGCATGTTTGGCCAAGTTTTTAATTTTATTGATGTAAAAATAACAATATTGTGTTGAAGTGAACAGAATCTGAATGTTTTGTTTGCTGTTCAAACATTTATGTTTGGTTTTATATTCGGTTATTTTGAGTAACTTGATTGCACTGTGCAAGGGAATTTCATTAAAAATGTTGTTTAGTTGTTTGATGTAGTGTGTAATATGTATGTCGTTTGTGTGTAGCATGCCGGGAAAGAACTTCGGACTTTGTCATAGCTGTAGAGAGAAGGGTCACTTATTTGCGAATTGTCCGTCCAAACAAAAGATGATGCTCCTTGTGTAAATGTGGAATTGTGAAGTGCTTCGAGGTCGAGAGGGAGACAAAGAACAAGGGAAGATTGTTTGAGTGCTGCAGTGCTAATTGTAAATAGTGGGCATAGGTCGATGAGGGAGAATCAAGCAGTGGGTCAAGTAATATTACCGCTAACTCGAATAATCATGCAGCACTTGAAGATGTTCAGCAGTTCTCTCGCGTGTTCCAGTCTCTTTGTCACGTGGTCTCTAAGGAACGAAACATTGAGATTTCTTTGAATGTGACAATAAGGAATGCCAACGAAAGTGTAGAAGTGGATGTGAAAGGGAAGGGGCCAACATGATTAGTGGTTAGCTGAATAAGTGACTAGTGTAGTTGATGTATTCTGTTAATATTGGTGTTTGCACTAAGGTGTTGGCCAGAAAATTATTCCTCGCAAACGGTCATGTTCTTATCTTAATGTGATTATTCTGGCTTGAAGTTATTTTTATGCAAAGCTAGGGTGTGTGAAATATTGTTTCATTTTAATAGCTTCTAGTTACGTTTTTGAATGAAAATCGTCATACAAATCATCACTTAGCAGTTTTTAACTATTGTTGAACGAAACAGTTATACAACTTCGTATGCAAATTGAACGAAACTATTGTTGAGTATTTTCTCAATCTTGGGTCAATTGTTCAGTATTCACACTTGAATCAATGAGTAATTGACTTCAAATTCTAGGGTATTTGAAGATTCAATGAACCTTTGAACATATTCTTCGTTTCTTACATTTCCGCACATCACTCTGAAGCTTCACGTCACCAGCTTTCATATCGTATATTCTGGGCTAATTCTCTTTTAAGAATTATGAAGAGAGATTCGAAGTCCTTAATTATGACAATAATGTTTGGTCCAATTTCACATAACCGTATGGCCTCTCCAATATTACCAAGTTTGGCATATTTATTAATCATAATGTTGTACAAGACAATATCCTCCACCAAGTTACTATTTGCCACTTTATCAAAATAACTTCTTACCTCTGATACTCCCCCTTTCTCGCATAGTCTTAATAGAGTAGATCGATTTTGAACATAATCTGTGGTGATTTTCTTCAGACACATCTCCTTATAAAGCTGGACAGCCTTTTGTACTTCTCCCATCTTGCAAAGACCATTAATGATGATAGAATACATCACGTGATCTGGTATTAAACTAGCATTTTCCATCTCACTAAGAAATCTCAGAGCTTCATCCATACGTCCATTATTGCACAAACTGCTAAGCAACACACTATATGAGATACTACTAAGCTGAAAGCCCCCTAGAAAGCATCTCCTCTCGCAACCTAAAACGTTCTTCAACAGTATTGTATATGTGACGATCAATGTCTAATCCTCTACGTAGCATCCTATTAGTAACCTTCCCGGCATCATCCATCATACCAAGTAGACGAAACCCTTTGGTTATAATGTTGAAAGTCACATGATCAGGCCCCAATCCATATTTCTCCATGTCATTCGTAAAGTCTAATGCTTCTTCTATTGAACCCATCATACATAGTCCATGAATGAGAATATTGTAACTATAAACGTCAGGAAATAATCCATACTTAAACATCATACAAAAGAATGATTTTGCAATATCTACAAAACCCATTTTACAGAATCCGAAAATCAGATTATTAAACAAAACAATAGAAGCATGGGGCTCTTTTTCTTTAGTCTCCTGCAGAAATAAAACTGCTTCATGTATCAAGGACTGTCTGCATAGACCATCTAGGATAATCGCATTTGTGTATTCACTTAGACATATCCCACTGGCTTTAATTTCAGTGTATACATCCCACATGATATCAGTATTCTTCAAGTTGTGCAATAAACTATTGTATGTCATAATTGGAGCCCTTAATTATGACAATAATGTTTGGTCCAACGTTCAAACCAGCACTCATCAGTTCTGAGAATGTTTTGCTTGAACGAGCCATAGCCCATAAGCCCTTTGTCTTCATCTAGCATCACAAGTTCGGTCCAGGTCGGTTAGGTACATGTGGATAGTAATTAGGCATTGCATTTTCAACTGTAAAATAATCAAAGTTATTATGCAAACGAAGTATGACTTGAAATAAAAAACGAAGAGAAACCATATCATTACCTGGACCATACAACATAGCATTTGTTGGATCCAATGGGATGAAATTGGGAGACATTTGTTGTTGTGTAAATACATGACTTTCGGCAGCACCCTGCACCATATTATAACGTAACTAAAAAGTGCAAATCATATTCAATTATTAATGGAAAGAGACAAACCATCAGGAGTTGTGAATATGAGACTGGTGCTTGCATGGAGTATGAGATCAATTCAACTTCTCCCAGTTTACTTGGGCCTGCCTTCGTTTCCTTTCCTTAACTGAAGTTAGACGGGACTGCATACCAGATAAATAGTTACTACTACTAATCACTTTTTAACAAAACAAAATAAATTGCAAACATACCTTTGCGTTAATGGAATTTGATTCCAAACAACTTTTCCTTCGGAGTTTCTTTGGTGCACCTTTTCTGTTCGAGCATTTCGGGTCCTGTACACTTCATTTGACAGAGTGATGTGATGTTCCATCATCTAACGCTATCTGAGAAGCCTACTGCGCTAAGCTATTACTTCCACTAGTCGACCTCGTCAAACCCACTGTTCGTTCTTTGCAATCTATCCATTCCATTACCTGACGACTTTCCTCATCATCATCTGCAACCAAGTTCGCAAGAGAAGCAAATGATTAACACAATTTGTCATATCTCAATTGGGCTGGACTGCTACTCAAACCATTGTAGTTGGCTGCGACCTTGGTGTGAGCCCTATTCACATCTCTTCTCCATCTCCGTAATATGTAGGAGTCGGGCAGTGAAGTGATATTATTACGGATGAGTACAGCAATCGCATGCCTACAAATTATTCCTCAAAACTCGAAGAGGTGACAACTACATACGATTTCACATTTCTCCTTTTCAAAAGTGACGTAACAGCTCTTTTTCTTCAATCGATCATCAAGTATGACATCTTCCTATACCTCATACCTCGTTCCTAAAAAGTACTCCGACGAAGATATGAGATCAAAGTAGACCTTCCCAATGAACTCATCCTAAACTTCCCTAAATTTTGAGATGGTATAAACTAGTTGAAATTGCTTCTCTAGCTCACATTTTGTTGCACATGGAACCATTTGTGAGTAAGATTTGAAATCTACCTGGAACTCTTTCTCTACATTATTCCTCAAAGCTCGCTCGTATTTTTCAACAAATTGCTTCAGCGACGTCTCAGAGTGCACATACCCGTCGAAGAATGCATTCATGATCTCACTGTGTTGAGTAGTTGACATTCCAGCCCAGAACATACATTTCAAATAGCAAGGTACCCAACGGCCCTTGTTCGAATACAATCCCGACAACCAGTCATTGTCATGCAAATTATACTTCTCTATTATCGCACTCCAACCCTCTTCAAATTCGTCAACGGTTTCATATCAGTACATGTATGGCAAAAAAGATTTCACCCTTGTCGCTGTGGTGTCCAAACTTCTCTGGCAACTTCTTCAATATGTACCACAAACACCATCTATATTTTGTGTTCGGGAACACAATCTGAATTGCATTCTGCATGGACTTGTCTCGATCGGTAATAATACCAAGGAGTGCTTGTCCATGCATACACTGAAGCCAAGTCTTGAAAAGTCACACAAATGTTTCTGTATTTTCGTTTGACAACAAACCACAACCAAGGAGTGTTGATTGCCCATGATGATTAACTCCAACAAAAGGCGCAAATGGCATGTCATACTTGTTAGTTATGTATGTGGTATCGAATGTCACAAATCCCCAAACTCCTTATATGCCAGCCTACTCCTATTATCTGCCCAGAAAATAATCCTCGACCGTGACTCTTTATCTAAATCCATACTAAAAAAAAAAAAAAAACAGAGCACCTTGATTGCATGTTCGAAAAGTATGACTGAATTGCTACAGCATCTCCTTTGCGCAGTCTTAATCGCCTTACTTGTTCAACATAATTTCGACAATCCTTTTCAATGCAAGTCATATTCTCATACCCCCTGCTTCTACAACCGCTGAATTGTAACTTTTATGCAAAGGAATCCCTGCCATGTCATTCACTTCAATCCGTCGTTTGACATGAACACTCAATTCTTGGTTGCAACGATACAACCTAGACTTCGAATGGCTGGTTTTACGATTGTGAATGAGATTGACTGTGTTAATTTTCCATACTCCGCACGCATCTAATGATGCAGTCAACCTAGCTTTACAACCCGTTTGAATGGTAGCTTACATCTTCATAGAACCGCTTGTGTTACTACTTCTATGACCTTCACGGCTACATTGAAACACAACATATCTTACAATTCCATCATCATCCTTTTGCGAATTTCTTTCCTAACCGGAAAGCCTACGTTGTACGTATATCGTTTGTAAAAATCAAACATTTCTTTTTCATCGCTGAACTTCATACCTACTTCGGGCACAATCATACCATATAGTCCTACAATTCCATCGTCCACTACATTCGCACTTTCCAACATCTTCTCGTTATCTGATTGTGAATGAGATTGACTGTGTTAATTTTCCATACTCCGCACGCATCTAATGATACAGTCAACCTAGCTTTACAACCCGTTTGAATGGTAGCTTACATCTTCATAGAACCGCTTGTGTTACTACTTCTATGACCTTCACGGCTACATTGAAACACAACATATCTTACAATTCCATCATCGTCCTTTTGCGAATTTCTTTCCTAACCGGAAAGCCTACGTTGTACGTATATCGTTTGTAAAAATCAAACATTTCTTTTTCATCGCTGAACTTCATACCTACTTCGGGCACAATCATACCATATAGTCCTACAATTCTATCGTCCACTACATTCACACTTTCCAACATCTTCTCGTTATCTGATTCTAACGAGATATCGTTGTCTGCCTCTTCCGAAAATCCTTTCGCTGCGACAAAAAAAAATAAAAATAAAAAATTGTAAAGTTTATATATGTAAACCTCTTGAAACCGACTTCACATAAAAAAGGACAAACCGACTTCACTTGAAAAATTAAGAACATATCCGATTGCAAGTAACAAAATTCAGAAAATTAAGTCCATTTTCAAAAAAATAAATAAATAAATAACACACACACACACATTTGTTTCATTTTTTATCACTGATTCAACTATAAAGTATTAAATATTCGTCACAAAATCAAAAGACAATATTAAAGCATAAAGTGTTTCTCAAATTCTATGTGCATTATGTGGAAGAATGACAAAATATCATACCTTCTGTTGTTTTTGGTATGGTTCTGATGCTACCTCTCTTGGCCCAACATAGAAAGGGAAATCAAAAGAAGAAAGTGCATTATAAAATACAAAAGCAAAAATTCATAAAAGCTTGAATTGATAGTGACGTTTAACTGATGAGTTATCCCATTTCTCAGATGCCCTCATCATTCTACGAAGCATATATCAGCAAATTCTTTACTTGTTTAACTCATACATTCTATGAAACCAAATGAAGCAACAATATTTTTTCCCTTTTATCTGACAAAATTTATCTTCTACATTAGCAGCCTTATTACCAGTATTGGTAGGTTTTTACGATTACACATTCATCTCACATAGTATACCTTTGTCCCTAAACCCTAAATCAGTATCAAACTAAAATGGGAAAGGGGAATACCTTTGTTCATCATCTCTTTGTCTCAAACCAGATTTCGACTTCTGCTTTGCTTCCAAAATGAACCCAATGTTGGATATTTCACAGAACGCCAATCGCGACGACTGGAACTCGCGACCGAGAGATATTAGTAAAGAAATTGACCCATATTTCCTGAACCCATTGCTTTCAGCAAAATGAACCCGGCATCGGATAATTTTCCCTTTATGAACAAGATATGGCACGCCGTAAATCAACTCAAAAAGAAGAGAAGCGCTTTCTCGGCAAAGATGAGGAAACTGATTTCACGCAAGATTTGAATGGAAAAGTTAAATTTGCCCCAAAGTCAAATGAAACAAATGCCCCCCCCCCACCCCCCCTCCTCCTCAAATCCAAGACCATTTATTCTATTTTTTGGAAAAATCCACGTCAGCGTGTAAACAAACGGGCAAGGGAAAGAGTACAAATAGCTTTTTTCCTTTGACACATCGAAGTGAACTATAATGAAACATTATTTGACTTTTACATGTTTAGTAATCTCAAAGCTACCTTGCATTCTGATGTTGTTCACGCATGTTGACGCCATCTTTTTCAATCATGCAACTCTATATATTACCAACAGTATCAAATAAAAAAATCATCTGAAAAACTATATGATCGTCTGAAATACTTTAATGAAAAATTTTCAGTTTCCTCGATATTTAACGAGCATTACGAAAAGGGAGCAGAATTTTGTAGTTAGTTAGGGTTTGGAGAGTGTCAATAGTGTTGTTTGGGCCGTGCCCCTTGAACAACCCTCTGGATAACCAGGGAGTTATGGATGGTGTCTGGTCATTCAGAGGTTGTTTAAGGGGCTTTATCTGTGTTGTTTTTGTATAGCATGTACATTACTGGCTTTAATGGAGGAAAATATAAATAACAAAAAAGTTTCAGGTGACATCTCAATGTCGGAAATCAATTGATACTTTGAAGGGGTCTATTTCATCAATTTTTTTGTTGGGTTAGATCGATGATGGTGGTGGGAAGAGGAAGAGGGTAGTAGAAGGGAAAGAGAATTTTTTTTTTTTTTTTTTTTTTCTTTCTTTTTTTTTTTTTTTTGATTTTTTTTTTTTTTTTTTTAATGTCAATTTAAATTTAGTGGATTCGTTTGTACTCTTTTAAAAAAATTGGGGCTATAGTTGCAATTAATTTATTATTCTCTTTTTTTTTTTCTTTTTTTCTTTTTTGTTTAAATTGTAGGGAAAAAATGAGCGACAAGGAAATATTTCACACTAAGGGGTGTGTATTCAATTGAGACTTTTAATAACTTTTTCATATTTAAGAAGTTTAGGAATGTTCAATGTAAACTTTATGAAACTCTTTAAAAGTATTGATGATTTAATTGAGACTTTTATAAACTTTTAAGAAGTCTCTAAAAATCGCGTTGTATTCAATTAAAACTAATTTTGTGGTATTCAAATTTTAATGACTTCTAAATTTTTTATAAAAGTCTCTAGAGTGCTAACTTTTAAACAGAAAGTACTCATAATAAAAATATTAAAATTTGTATCTTATTTAATCACGAGATTTTGGGAGATATATATATATATATATATATATATATATATATATATATTAATTAAGGTCTTAAATTCTTATTCTTTTATTTTTCTTTTATTATATGGGAAGAAGAAGTGGAAGGAAAATTGGAATTGTGGGAACCAACACTTCGTATGTGAAAATTTACACTATTGTATTAAATTCACGTGAATTATATTTCAAATGAAAGTTTTAAAAAATCTTTTGAATTCTATAAAAATCTATAAAAAATTTAAAATTAAAATCCATAGAAATCTACAAAAGACTTTCACTAATTTCATATAAATTTATAAAACATTCACGTAATTCACAAAAGTTATCATTTAAAAAGAGTTTATCAAAATTTTCAAAAATTCCAATTGAATACCCCCCTCCCCCACCCAAAAAAAAATAAATAAATAAAAATTTAAAACATGGATTTGTGCCATTCCCATGGAAGGTTTTCCTCAACATGCCCAATGGGTAAATGGGGTTCTGTGCCGTTTAGTCATCTTGAAAAGGTAACATGTTTTAGGGTATTTTCCATTTTCATATTTATCTATGCAAATTTCCCTATTCAAAATAGAATATCTAAATACTGTATTGGGATTCCACGTTTCACGCCACTAAATACAGTGCAAATCTTCTGCGTTGTTTCCACCTCTCTCTCGAGAAAAGTTTCTCTCTCTAGATTTACAGAAATCGCAGAAAAAGAATGGAGTCGTATTCGCCTCAGACAATTGAGCTTTTGAAGAATGAGATTCCGGTGGATCAGGAGTCTCTTCTTCTTTCCGGTGATGTAAAAACCGGTTTAGTTCTTGTTGACATCGTTAATGGTTTCTGCACAGTTGGTTCCGGAAATCTGGTAGATTTTTTTTTTTTTAAATTATTTTTTGTGGGTTTTGAATCTTATGGATATCTGTATGCACGTGAATACATGCACGTGTAATATCATTTATCTTTTATGTTGTCTTGAGACTCGGTTTTTGCATTTTTATTTTAGGGTTTATGATTTGTTTAATGGTAGGATTATATTGTTCTTTGGTTGATGATAAAATGAAGGGAAAGTTGAAATTTCTTTATGTTCCGATCCCCTTCTACTTGTTTGTGCGCTTAAATTCTAGATCGCACTGCCACCTGACTTTCTTATTTTTGTTTCACAAGCTTCATCCTTGTGTGTTCTTATTCTGCTTATGAAATTATTCTATAGAGAGAGTAATTTGACAATGATATCAAACGTAGTCGTTTCGTTTTTGCAACAGGCTCCACAAGCTCTAGATGAACAAATTTCTGGAATGGTTGATGAGTCAGTGAAGCTTGCCAAAATGTTCTGTGAGAAGAAATGGCCTATATATGCTTTACTTGATACTCATCATCCAGATATTCCTGAGCCTCCATATCCCCCTCACTGTTTAGCTGGAACTGATGAGTCAAAATTGGTTCCCGGTAGTTATAACTTTATAGCATGTTTGGTACGACATAATAGACAGTATTGGATAGCACTAAGAGAATAAAAAGAAGTTGAAATCTTGTCCACTGTAATGTCCAATCCTATCTAATATTGCGAACCAAAAATGCCTTTAGTGATTCCCTTTCTGCAGCAAATCAGTTCACATGTTTTAGTTGTTCTCTTATGTTGCTTAGTTTTTATGATTTGCAGCCTTGCAGTGGTTGGAAAATGAACCCAATGCAACACTAAGGTGCAAGGGATGTATTGATGGGTTTATAGGTTCATTTGAGAAAGATGGATCCAATGTCTTCGTGGATTGGGTGAAAGCCAACGAGATCAGAGCCGTAAGTATTTCCATCTCCGACAACATAAATCTTCAATTGGGGTTTTCCCATCTTTTGCTACATATTGAATAGAACAATTCTGACCAACACTTTTTTTATTCTAAAGATGCTGGTTGTAGGGATATGCACAGACATTTGTGTGCTTGATTTCGTCTGTTCGGCACTTTCTGCAAGAAATCGCGGTTTTCTCGCTCCATTGGACGATGTGATCGTTTATTCTCGTGGTTGCGCTACTTTCGATTTTCCAGTTCATGTCGCCAGAAATATCAAAGATGCTTTAGCTTATCCACAGGTAGACTATGTGGTACAAGCAATTTATGTTCTAATTGCTGATTTGGTCGAAAATCTTAATGCAATTGACACGTTCTTATGTTACTTTCAGCATGAAACAAATAGTTTGGTTTTTCTTCTTTCGGCTCCTTCCTGACGCACATAAAAGAACAAGGAATAAACCATTTGTACCGAGGGGGTGTACCGAACCGTTTACACCCCCCTCACAAACATGCGGGCCCCATATGTTATTTAATAATCCGAACCGAGGTCCCACCCAAATGATGTGAGTAGTAGGTAAACCATTATGTACGTATAGCACGGTTCAAAGAACAAAATATTAAGTTTTCGTGTATTTTTTTTTTTGTATATTCCGTTGTCACCTCTCTTGAAATGGATAGCATATCCAGTGAAGTCTTTTGTCCTGATATGAATTTAAGACATGCCCAATATCACTATCGCACGGTTTTCTGCAGACCATTTTACATATTTAATGAATTATTTCTGATTAAGATTGTCTGCATCGAAAATACTCCGCCATTTCTTGGCGTTTTTCAATTATTTCCCAATCTGGGTAACTTAATCTTCTTACTGTGTTGTCTTTCCTTTGGTGTAGGAACTGATGCATCATATAGGACTTTACATGGCCAAAGGCAGAGGAGCCAAGGTGGTTTCTGAAGTCTCGTTTGTTACCAAATAGCAACATAACTTCATCTTAATATGTGTCCTATATAGGATTAGTTTGTAAATATCCTAAATTAATAAAAGTGCTCTAGTTGTTTTGTTGATGATGTTGGGTTGCTTGAAAGTATCAAATTATACTTATCGAGTTGTGTATAACCTGGGATTTGCAGAGTTTGCAATGCAGATTTGCCGTATATGTTAACCATGATCTGCGTATGTTACATTTAAGTAACTTTTTATTTCTTATTCAACAAATTATTTTCTTAACTTATGAGTAACAAAAGATACTTTTATTATTACCTTAAATCTTAATGTCAAAATAAATATGTAATTTTGACCAATATATTAGGACAAAAGAATTGGCAAATTCTGACCAAATTAAATGTTGTTTAAGGATTGTCGTTTTTACAATTGAGTATTGGTGCACTCCTCCATTAAAAAATAATAATAATAAAAATCGAAAAATTTCAAACTTGGGATCTATTTAACTCAAATAATTGGAAAATAGCGGTTTGAAAGCATTGTACTTTATTTTTAGAAAGCATATTCTATAATTTAGAAAGTTCAAATACTTCAATAACGTTTTATCTTTAACAATAAATTTTTTTTTTTCTATTTTTTATTTTCACAGACTTTCTTTCAAATTATTATATTATTTTCCTAGGTTTTCTTAGTATACGATGAATGTGGAAATTCATTGGCACATCTCCACCACTCACCTTATTATTTTTTTTCTTTTTTAAATATGTTTTGAGGATCAAATTGCTAATAAAACTTGATTTTTCATAGTTCAATAGCTTGGTAAGTATATAATTTGGATAATATGTAGTTTTACCATTTCCAAATTTCTCCAAAGTTTCAGAACTTTACTATATAATAAAGTGGATTAAACAAACAAAGACGCTGCGAGTCATGAGAGCTTCTCCTGTTACTCTTCACTGAATTGTACATCAAACTCAGATAAATGAATACAACCCAATCCTTAAAAAAAATTCTCCCACCCCTGATGAATTCTCTAATAGGAAGTACATAAATGGCTCTTTAACTCGGCTAATTCTTCTTGAGCTTTTGGTCAGTCGATTCTCCAGTAATCAAGAGGGATTGCATTTTATTTCAGATATTATAGGCCACAAATAATACAAGCAGCTGCACCAGCATCAGCACCTGCAGTTTATATAAGATTTATATCACAGAATCCCACTGTTAAGCATTGCACATGCAATCTGGAGTAGGATATGTATATATAGACTGTTCTGATTTGCGTAATCGGATCTGCCCATGTCTGTTCTTGTGTCCTTCAACCACAGTCTCTTGGAACTCTGGCCAAGTTAGGCTTTTATTCAGGAAAAGCTGCCCCAACAATGCCATGTTAGGTCTTATAGTCTTCAGGTTTTGGTATGTTCGATGTCCCACCTGCAGATCCAAAAAGGAGTTGGAAACAAAATTCTCAATTTTCATGGTGTAAGGTGAATGCAAGAACTCGTAAACCATTGCATAGGACAAATTAACATAAATAGAAATTCATAGCTTTATGCCCAAGTCTCAGTGAATCTAATCCATTCTTACGGAGAAGAGTAAAATAGAGAATGAAAATCGAAGTTTTCACAATAATGGCGAAGTAGAATCTTTTGGCCATGCCTACCAGACCTTCAAAATCGCTTCCCACTAAATCCTTAAATGGTAGGAACAGTATATATGCGGTTGAGGGGATAAATGTATAATTAGGCCCCACACAGTCCAGCAACTTCACGTACAGCATTCAATTTGGCTGGACGCACTATTTTATTGGTGATTAGTTTTATTGCTTATCATAGCATTGTGCAAACTTTTGGGAGAGGCAGATATAAAAATGTTGCTATGCATGCAGTCGAATCAAATGAGACGGCAAGAAACAGCAATATATTAGTATATATAATAGCATTAAGTGCTTACCATAGCATTGTGCATATTTCCAGGAGAGGCAGAAATGAAGATATCGCTGTGCATACCAACGTAGTAATCAACTGCAGCTAATAAGGAAGCCTTTCCTTTAATGCTGGCTCTTTCTTCGGAAGAAGAAAGACTCTTTTTATTTTCCAATAATGGAAACAAACTTCTCAAGGTCGAGATCCTGACTTCACCACCATACACCTGAAAAATGGCAGTCAATGAGAATTTAAGAAAACGAAAGCATAGGATTGGCTACAAGGCATTGGAACTGGTTTTGATGATCTGGAATCATATCAACTTTGAATTTAAACCTTATGGGAGGCAAGATATAAGCGAGTAGTGTTGTCAAATCCCAGAGCTGCTAGCAGCAATCCAATTTCTTCGGGAGTCAATGGGCACCGTCCCTGACTTCTCAACTCCTCATCGGTAAATTGAGAGTTTAAGACCCTTCCTTGCCAAATGACTTGTCGATACTTAGCTAGAGCCAGTTTTTCTGCCTTACCCCCACCGAAGTCGCAGGCTGAATGGGCAGCCATATCCTGAAAAGACAGTGAAATCTAGAAAGAAAAGAAGTATACATCTCTCGAGAGCCAAATGATAAACTGATGAATGATATAGGTTAAGTTCCAATCCTTTAGGGGGCAATAATAATAGCGGTTCACCCTAAATGAGAGAGTAATTCAGGTTGATCTGTGGTCGAAGGAATAAGTGTCTAGTATGATTAGTTTCTACGCAGTTCAACAAAAAAAAAAAATGTAATTCTGGAAACAAATATATTTCCAGAGACAAATATAAGAAAGATGATCCAGAAAACAGTTAAACCGCACTCTAAGCCCATTGCATAATGAGGCAGGTAAGTACGTAATAAAGAGTAGTTTTAGCAATGAGTGCAGGCCAAGAATTGGAAGCTATAAATCTCAGAAGCACATCAAAAGCTCATATGCTCAAAATTAAGTTACTAGTCTCTCCCAGTTTGAGTAGAATTTCTACATCTCGTAAATATTGTGACAAAGGTGGAAATACCTTATCAAATCGAAGATGGAGGACAACAAAGTTTCCAGTTCCTTGTTTGCGTTTAGCATTGCTAACATCTTTAAAATGCTTAGTACCAACAACTTCATCATCACCAGGAGGATATCTGAGACGGTTGATGAGAGCATCTCCAAGTTCTCTGATGCGAGGAACAAAAACTAATGCTTGAAAGTTGACCTTGCACCGTAGACGTTGGATGTCCTTGGGCATATTGTCAAATGCCAGTCGGTGAGAAAACGGTGCAATTGCAGCAATGCCATAACTGGTCAATCCAGGGATAATATAATCACAACCCACATTTTGAAATTGAAGCAATAATTATAAGAAGAGATATCTACTGCAGGTTCAGAAGCCAATCAAGTCAAATAATAAATATTGTGATGGATTAAGCCCTAATCCAGTACTCCTACACTTCTGAGAGCTATATAGTAACCAGAAAACGAGCAAAATACACAGATTTATAGAAGTTCATGCCCAATGTGAGAGTTAGGCAAGTTTTCACCATATTGGAGAAGAAGTGTACAAGAGAGATCTCACGTCTCACTCTCTTCATCTATGTCTTACCAAAAAGGCTCCCTAATAAATCCTTTTTATGGTAGGAATATCAGGTAGATCTGCAGTCAAGGGGTAATTGTAGAGTCTGATTAGGCTCCAATCAGTCCAACAAACACCAACACCATTTTATTACAGCAAGGAAAACTAGCAAAAGAAACTACAGTATGGAGCCCTTTGCAGAAGATTTTAGTATGAGAACCATTTTTCATAGAATCAGCCAACTCAATTTTTGTTCCCATTAAGAAAACTTAACTATATCACTCTACAATTGTCACCCATATCAAATTAAATTGATTCCATCATACAAATGAAAATCACTCTCTAAGTAATAAAAGATACTAAAGACTATTTTTTTTAAGATGCTTTTTTTTTTTTTTTATATACCAGTTCGCCGAAGCATGAATAGGTGTTGTTTTAATTCTGTTAGCCCGGATGGCTGTAGCATAATATTCCCGTGTGCTCCAAAAGAATTCATCGGGCAACTCTTTAACTATGGATACCTCATCTTTCAACACATTAATGAAGTGATCCACATCAAATATATCCAAGAAAGTGCTACAGGGAAAAATAAATAAATAAAATAAATCCATTTTTTCATTTCGTTATTTCTCCAAACACGAGAGTAGGAGTTTCACACTAGAAAAATATCAAGAACAAATTGATAGGTTTAATGAGTAGAACCTTGAATCTTGCCAAACAGAGTTTACTTCAAGGTAAGGGATCACAAGAGTTGCATTCAAAATTTTAGCAACAGCCACGGCATCACAAATCTTAGAATAGAGAGTGTACATGTCAGTTATCAAGAAGACAAATAATTACATAATCCAAGAAAGAAAACCAGTATGTCATGTTTGGTAAGTGGTTTTAAATAGTACTCAATAGTATTGAGACAAAAGAAATTAAAATCATATTCAATGTAGTGTATGTGGTCTAATACTACAAACCTAGCATGCACATATAGTATATAATTTATTGATCCCTAAATAGCTTAAGAAGTACCAAATGTAAAAAACATACAGCACATACCCCCATCCTCTGCTGATTTAGTCCTCCATCAAGGAAAACCTGAATATATCCTTGAGAATTTTCTGGAAAACCTGCTTGTAAAAAATGATCAGTGATTCAGAATATTTTGAAATGCATGAATTCATTGCCATGCATACATTTGCAACAAATACAAACCTTGTTATTTAATACAAATAGTTAAGAATCAATGAAGAAACTAAGAAATTTCATCTATGACCAATTTTTGGCCGATACTATTACAGTATTACTCACTGGGAAGAGTGTCAGATTCAACACAGGGTTTCCATCCTTGGTCGACCAAAGGCATCCATAGCTCAGCCTGTTTTTCATGAGACTGAACGAAAAAGGAAAAAGCGAATAAAGTTATATTCATATCCCGAATGACAATTTTGTAAAGGGAAATGCATGCATATAATAGCTCAGTAACCTCTTACTCACAGTTTGGCGTTGTATAGCACTCTTAAGTAGCTTTGAGTGCCTAGGTTTTGGAGCATTCTTTTCCTGCATAAGCAAATCAGACTATGACGAATGGATCCCCCCTTAGTCGAAAAAATTAATTCTACCATATAAGGAGTAAGCTTCAGTTGGCAAAAGATAGCATCACAAATTTAAAGTATCCACATAATTTAAATGTTTACTCTGTTAGATATGAGAATCTAGAATAAGCAACAACCCCTTGATGAGCTATAATTCCAAGCTTTGCTTATAGGCAGTGGCTCTAGATTATACTGATAGTCTAGTTATTCTGCACAAAGCTAAGAGTCATTTTAGTGGTACTTTATCTGAAATCTTCTCTACTATAATGATCCCGCATTCCCTAATGCCCTGCATATGCCAAGATTTCCCATACGATTACGTTCTAAGTTATCATACGTTTCTTTTCAGTGGATTCACTAGTTATATATTATACTAATTTATGGTAAAAAAAAATAAAAGCGTTTTACTGTTATCCTCGAGGTCCCCACCACAGATTCTAAATAACAACTTCTATAAAAACATAAAAAATAACAAGAAACTATGTTTTATTCCCAATTAATTTGGAATCTGCAGCATGAATTTTTTTTTTTTTTTTTTCCCTTCCTTGCCTCTCCTCACAACTAAATCCTTAGCAACCACAACAAGACATGTGAGATTTCATCTAATGCTCCCTCTTGTGGCGTGTTCTGATGATATCGTGTCACTCGTATTCCCTTTAAATTTACACAAAAATGTGTCTGGACAACCTGCATGTTCATCCCTGCGTAACAGGTGTATCTCCATCCATGCCCAAAGAATGACCTTTTACCGGTATATATACGAGTGAACATTCCCTCTTGTCTAATTATAAGCAAACAAATCTTTGTCATCTACAATTCTACTTTCTCATAATATAATCATGTCAAACAATTTTGCAGCCCCAAAAACTCCCATACTTTCCAAACTTGGAAAAAATGACCCAAAATATCTCCATTTTTCCATATTCGGCGAAATACATAAATTCTATAAGCACGGCCCTTACATATTCCTCCTCGTACTAATCATCACTGCAAATCTTGAAAAATAAAGAAATAATTTCTCAATTAAAAGATTTTAAAATCAAACGACAGCAACAAAGCTAATAAAAATAGTCAAATCCCCCTAAAATTCATACCTTTCTGTGACATTTTTATCCATTCCCACAAGAACCCATAATACATTGAAGAATTAACGTTCCCTCCCTCCCTCTCTTCAGCAACTATTTCCCTCAAACCAGAAAATATATCAACGAATGCAAGCAGCACAAACAAAACCCAAAAATCCCGTTAAAGGAAAAACAGAAAGCAAATAAATAGATCAATTTGAAACCCCCACCCCCCACCCAAAAAAAATAATAAATAAATAAATTAAATATAATAAAGGGAACTGAATCATGAAGATACCGAGAGAATGGAGGGTGAGGCATGGCTCAATGGAGTGAAAAGACTCGCAAACAAAACGGGGAGCAGCAGCAGCACGATGACAGTAGTCATGGCTCCTCTTCTGTTGCTTCGACAGTACTCTAAAAATACACTTTTATTAAAGAGACGTGGGGTTCTTAAGGCTTAAGTTGCTTAACGTTGGAAGCCTTCAATAAAGTGACTTTCATGGAGGAGAGAGAATAAAAAGAGGATTCATCTTCATTATTAGCCTCTGAAAAAGCATGTCAAACGCCTACCTATCTCCACACACACACACAGTGATACACATAGGACCAAGAAACAGCTCGACTATGAATGTACATATGTATATTCTATTTCATTATGTCGGGCGTCTTTTTCCCAGTAAAACCTCAACAGCCAACGGATAGATTTTTATTGAAAGAAAAGATTTTGTACGTGGCATGTCCTTGCTTTTTCATGTTTTTCACTAAAATGTTTTTAGCTGGCTCATGCTGTTACTGTACTTTTAATAAATGGTAGCGCTCTCAGCTTTGCCACCACCGACACACACATGGTAGGGGTGAGCGGAATGGTAAAGGTGAGCCGCGATCCGCTCTTTGGAAACATACTGCAACAGTAAAGTCACGAGTACTGAAAAATTTTAACGTAACTTGTACCGACATTGATGTGGTAAAATATAATTGGAATGTTTTTTCTTTTCTCTATCTTTCAATAATGTCGCGTCATGTATTGTCTGTAAAAGAAATTTGTCAAAAAATCCTATACCTGTAGTAGCGTTGTTCTTTTACATTGGTCAGTATAAAGATTTTGGGACATTCGTATAGACCTTTGATATTGAAAATAAATTACTGAATAAAAATGTTCAAAGTTCTAATAATAATAAAAATTAAAGCTTTCAAAAGTTCTCTTTAAATTTACGTTTCTAGCATTTTTAAGGAAGGGATGGTCGAACATGAAATTTGATTATAGCAGGCACAAATTATAAAGAGAACATTACCCTAAATCCTACATTTTAAATTTCAAATTAAAAAATCAGGTGTTTCCCATTCAAAAATCAGATATAATTATTTTTCGTTCAACAATCGATTAATAATTATTATTTAAAAATTATATATCATTTATCGTCATTTTCTTTCTTTTCAGTCATTATCACCTCTGTAATTACCCTTATCACCACTTATCAGTCATCGCAGATTCTAGATCCACAAGTGATGTGGCTAATGTCGTTAGGAGGATTAGCAGGATGTGGCTGATGACGTAAACGCTCGTCTGAGTTGATCATTCGCGAGCAGCTGTTCCACACCCTTCGATTGTAGCAAAATCTATGCCTACAAATTGTTTATTGTTACCACCTGATTTTTTGAACTTTTCTACAAGTTCCTTATTTTTTTAATGTATATTTTGAAATTTTTATAGTTATGTGTTTTTTACTTAAATTAATGGTATTTGTAGTCGCTCATGCCATACGTGACACATATACAGCGATTAGTGATTTGATGCATGAGACAATAAAAAACTACCATATTAATTCAATAACTTACTAACCAACATATGTATGCCACGTGAATTGACTATCGTATACTTTCCCTTATAATAAAAATAAACGAGAGGCATGTGTTGTCAATTAAAAGAATGGGCCTTCAAAAATTTCTTAGGCTACATTACAAAAAGATTGGGCTCAATTCTTGGGGGGAAAAAATTAAATGATCAAAATAGAAATAAATTCAAAATAAGTACATTTAATATTTTTTTTAAAGGGAACAATAGGTGTTTGAAATATACAATTGCAAAATTTTAAAAAAAATGTTTTAAAATTTTAAAATCACGTCATAATTAAATTTGATTAATTAAATATATTAAAGTAACAATATTTTACAGTTTATGATCACAATTACGTACTAATTACAATCATAAAAATCACAATTACAAATCACAACATCGATCACTTATTATCAAATTAACTGATCACGCATTATTTCTCGATCACAAATTACAGATTTATAGATTACAATTATTTATTGTTTACAAATTATCAAATTAATAATTCACGTATCATTTCTTGATCACAAATCACAAATTCTATCAGTCATTACTTATTTCACGATCGCAAATTATTAAATTAATTGGTCATAAATTATCAAATTAATTTATCACAACTTAACAAATTATAAGTCAAAATTACAAATTTATTCGCAATCTCATATTTTTTGGATAACATATTACTTATTGATCACAAATTATCTATTTTGTCGATTACATATTATTTATTAGTTACAAATTAATCATTTTATTAATCACAATCACCCAAATAATTGGCCACAAACACTCTTTACCCCTCCAACCCCACTCCACCACAGCTAGCACGACATCATTTGTAACCACCACCGTTACCTACACACCACTACCAACAACGCCACCTTACCACCACCACCACCACCACCTCATCATCATCACTATGTCAACCGATGCCCATTCCTTGCCAAAACCCACCCAAAATCCCACTCTGCAAACAAATCACTCTCCTACAATCAACAATCCATGAACACACAACTCTTGTCGTTGGCTATCATTGTCTTTACTCATTAATCTACAAACATCTCCACCAACAATCCACTCCTACAACATCAACACCCATTAAACCACTCATAGTCACTACAAGAAATATATATTTTCTCCACAAAAAATTCGGAGACAAATTGAGATTTGTGGGTGGAGTTAACTTTTCCCTACAAAAAGACATTTCGTAGGGCTATGATTTGATTAAAAAATTTTAATAGTGGAAGGATTTGGACTCACAAAAAATTATATTTTTTCCCAACAATAAAATTTGAAGGCCAAAATACATCTTTAGCCTACAAAAATATCAAACATATTTGTAGGCTAATGAAAAAAATCTCAATTACTATTTTTAATTTTGATCCCCACAAAATATATATTTGAAGTTAAAAGATAAATAAAATGAAAAAGAGAAATTACATTTTTTTTAAATTTTTTTAACAAAATCCAAAAATAAAAAACCCTCAACACCCATGTAATGTACCACTTTCTCTTTTGCCTCCAACCGTCCAACGTTTTCCCCCAAAATTTGTCATTCCCTCTCTAAATTTGCCGTCTTACACACTCCTTTGCCTCAAAAAATTTTCCCCAAAATTCATTCCCTCCCTTTGTTTCATCTTTTTAATTGGCCCAAACCTAGTTCAAATTCTTCGGTTGATGCGAATTTCGACTTCATCTACAGATATATGTGATATTCTTCAATCTGTCTTCCAAGTATGCCCATTCCAAGATTATATCAAATATTAAAGTTTGTAGTTTATTCCATTTATATATGTCATCGTCCATCGGTTTAGCAATTAAATTCCTCCTCCTCTTGCTATTTGCGTTCAATATGGATTTTGACAAAGGGGTTTTCCATGGAATTTTTATGTGATCTGTTGTTGGATGAAAACCAACCAATTTCAACATCTTCATTACCGGTGGCGACCAGCAGCAGCACGATGACAGTAGTCATGGCTCCTCTTCTGTTGCTTCGACAGTACTCTAAAAATACACTTTTATTAAAGAGACGTGGGGTTCTTAAGGCTTAAGTTGCTTAACGTTGGAAGCCTTCAATAAAGTGACTTTCATGGAGGAGAGAGAATAAAAAGAGGATTCATCTTCATTATTAGCCTCTGAAAAAGCATGTCAAACGCCTACCTATCTCCACACACACACACAGTGATACACATAGGACCAAGAAACAGCTCGACTATGAATGTACATATGTATATTCTATTTCATTATGTCGGGCGTCTTTTTCCCAGTAAAACCTCAACAGCCAACGGATAGATTTTTATTGAAAGAAAAGATTTTGTACGTGGCATGTCCTTGCTTTTTCATGTTTTTCACTAAAATGTTTTTAGCTGGCTCATGCTGTTACTGTACTTTTAATAAATGGTAGCGCTCTCAGCTTTGCCACCACCGACACACACATGGTAGGGGTGAGCGGAATGGTAAAGGTGAGCCGCGATCCGCTCTTTGGAAACATACTGCAACAGTAAAGTCACGAGTACTGAAAAATTTTAACGTAACTTGTACCGACATTGATGTGGTAAAATATAATTGGAATGTTTTTTCTTTTCTCTATCTTTCAATAATGTCGCGTCATGTATTGTCTGTAAAAGAAATTTGTCAAAAAATCCTATACCTGTAGTAGCGTTGTTCTTTTACATTGGTCAGTATAAAGATTTTGGGACATTCGTATAGACCTTTGATATTGAAAATAAATTACTGAATAAAAATGTTCAAAGTTCTAATAATAATAAAAATTAAAGCTTTCAAAAGTTCTCTTTAAATTTACGTTTCTAGCATTTTTAAGGAAGGGATGGTCGAACATGAAATTTGATTATAGCAGGCACAAATTATAAAGAGAACATTACCCTAAATCCTACATTTTAAATTTCAAATTAAAAAATCAGGTGTTTCCCATTCAAAAATCAGATATAATTATTTTTCGTTCAACAATCGATTAATAATTATTATTTAAAAATTATATATCATTTATCGTCATTTTCTTTCTTTTCAGTCATTATCACCTCTGTAATTACCCTTATCACCACTTATCAGTCATCGCAGATTCTAGATCCACAAGTGATGTGGCTAATGTCGTTAGGAGGATTAGCAGGATGTGGCTGATGACGTAAACGCTCGTCTGAGTTGATCATTCGCGAGCAGCTGTTCCACACCCTTCGATTGTAGCAAAATCTATGCCTACAAATTGTTTATTGTTACCACCTGATTTTTTGAACTTTTCTACAAGTTCCTTATTTTTTTAATGTATATTTTGAAAATTTTATAGTTATGTGTTTTTTACTTAAATTAATGTTATTTGTAGTCGCTCATGCCATACGTGACACATATACAGCGATTAGTGATTTGATGCATGAGACAATAAAAAACTACCATATTAATTCAATAACTTACTAACCAACATATGTATGCCACGTGAATTGACTATCGTATACTTTCCCTTATAATAAAAATAAACGAGAGGCATGTGTTGTCAATTAAAAGAATGGGCCTTCAAAAATTTCTTAGGCTACATTACAAAAAGATTGGGCTCAATTCTTGGGGGGAAAAAATTAAATGATCAAAATAGAAATAAATTCAAAATAAGTACATTTAATATTTTTTTAAAGGGAACAATAGGTGTTTGAAATATACAATTGCAAAATTTAAAAAAAAATGTTTTAAAATTTTAAAATCACGTCATAATTAAATTTGATTAATTAAATATATTAAAGTAACAATATTTTACAGTTTATGATCACAATTACGTACTAATTACAATCATAAAAATCACAATTACAAATCACAACATCGATCACTTATTATCAAATTAACTGATCACGCATTATTTCTCGATCACAAATTACAGATTTATAGATTACAATTATTTATTGTTTACAAATTATCAAATTAATAATTCACGTATCATTTCTTGATCACAAATCACAAATTCTATCAGTCATTACTTATTTCACGATCGCAAATTATTAAATTAATTGGTCATAAATTATCAAATTAATTTATCACAACTTAACAAATTATAAGTCAAAATTACAAATTTATTCGCAATCTCATATTTTTTGGATAACATATTACTTATTGATCACAAATTATCTATTTTGTCGATTACATATTATTTATTAGTTACAAATTAATCATTTTATTAATCACAATCACCCAAATAATTGGCCACAAACACTCTTTACCCCTCCAACCCCACTCCACCACAGCTAGCACGACATCATTTGTAACCACCACCGTTACCTACACACCACTACCAACAGCGCCACCTTACCACCACCACCACCTCATCATCATCACTATGTCAACCGATGCCCATTCCTTGCCAAAACCCACCCAAAATCCCACTCTGCAAACAAATCACTCTCCTACAATCAACAATCCATGAACACACAACTCTTGTCGTTGGCTATCATTGTCTTTACTCATTAATCTACAAACATCTCCACCAACAATCCACTCCTACAACATCAGCACCCATTAAACCACTCATAGTCACTACAAGAAATATATATTTTCTCCACAAAAAATTCGGAGACAAATTGAGATTTGTGGGTGGAGTTAACTTTTCCCTACAAAAAGACATTTCGTAGGGCTATGATTTGATTAAAAAATTTTAATAGTGGAAGGATTTGGACTCACAAAAAATTATATTTTTTCCCAACAATAAAATTTGAAGGCCAAAATACATCTTTAGCCTACAAAAATATCAAACATATTTGTAGGCTAATGAAAAAAATCTCAATTACTATTTTTAATTTTGATCCCCACAAAATATATATTTGAAGTTAAAAGATAAATAAAATGAAAAAGAGAAATTACATTTTTTTTAAATTTTTTTAACAAAATCCAAAAATAAAAAACCCTCAACACCCATGTAATGTACCACTTTCTCTTTTGCCTCCAACCGTCCAACGTTTTCCCCCAAAATTTGTCATTCCCTCTCTAAATTTGCCGTCTTACACGCTCCTTTGCCTCAAAAAATTTTCCCCAAAATTCATTCCCTCCCTTTGTTTCATCTTTTTAATTGGCCCAAACCTAGTTCAAATTCTTCGGTTGATGCGAATTTCGACTTCATCTACAGATATATGTGATATTCTTCAATCTGTCTTCCAAGTATGCCCATTCCAAGATTATATCAAATATTAAAGTTTGTAGTTTATTCCATTTATATATGTCATCGTCCATCGGTTTAGCAATTAAATTCCTCCTCCTCTTGCTATTTGCGTTCAATATGGATTTTGACAAAGGGGTTTTCCATGGAATTTTTATGTGATCTGTTGTTGGATGAAAACCAACCAATTTCAACATCTTCATTACCGGTGGCGACAGTGCTAAGTCCAAGCTTCTGAGGACCAAGTTCTTGTGGCCCATAAGATCCAATGCCATGGCCTTGAGGATGTGCTCTGCGGGATCTTTCGACTCGAGGGCCAAGGCCTTGTCGGCCTCGTTGGCGGCGGATTTAGTGAGGTTGAAGGCGGTGGATTTGTTTTTGGACTATCGGGCTCGTGATAGGAACTGAGCTCCCTGAATGAAGTGGCGGTGGATTTGGGTGTTAGGGTGGGCCTTAGAGCAGAGCTTGGTTAGGGCACGTTTGGGGAGGCTGTGCAGGGCGTAGACGATGCCTAGGGTGAAAAAGATAATGCCCAGTTGGAGTAAGGCATCTGTCCCCATTTTTTGAGAGGAATTTCAGGGTTTCACAAATGTGATGCAACTTTGAAAGAGTTAGGATCAGATCCATTATATGGCCGTCTAAAGGTTTGTTTTTAATCATTTCTAAAATAATGCCAAATAGAACCGATTTTTAACCTCCATTTACTTGACAATACGGTGATATTAAATGATAATTTCACGAGACAAGTTACGTGTTTGTTTATGATTAAAAAAAATAAAAAGAAAAAAGAAAACCAACCAATTTTAGAGTGATTTAGAGATTTCAGTTTGAGCATGTGAGGCTGCATATAGTTTGAGTTGGATGCAAAAACCTATTTAATTTGTTAATCATCTAATCATGCTCAAGGATAAGGAATTTAAATTAGATTCTATTTTGCTTTAAGTGGTTTATGGTACCAGTAGTCGGATGAGTTTTTCTTGCATTTGTTTCACTTGTACTATGATGTTTATGTTGGTCAATATTAACAATGTGGAAAGTCTTGCTATGCTGGTCGATACGCTATGTTGGTGGCCCTCCTTTTGCTGCTGGTGATTGATGAATTTGTGTTATGAAATTCCTTCTCTCCTTTCGCTATTTTGTTTCCTGTTTCCATTGCTTGCTCTTATGCTATGACAGTGTAGAGCATGATTAGATGATTAACAAATTTAAATTCCCCTGCCCTCAACTCCCTCATCAAAGCAATGAGGGATGATTCAACCCTGCTGGCATATGAGGCCTCATATAGGTTGGGTTGGATGCAAAAATCTGATGCTATCCCTGCATTAAAAGCTGTTGTAGATAATCTTTCATTGCATCTCATTGTTCGCCTAAAGGCTACAGAATCTCTTGGTGCATCTTGTTTAGAGACAAGTATTCCAGTTTTGGAGACTAGTTTCCAATTGGATCGATATCAAGAAGTTCGAGATACATGTGAACAAGCTCTTACTCGAATCAGGGAGCTAAAAAATGCTACCCCCATTAATTAGTATATTGGGCTTCGAACTAGCTCCACCTATTTTTGGTGTGGTTGGAGTAAATAATTAGAATCTGTTTCTTATTTTATTATTCAGGCGTAAGACTTTCCTAATTTTATAGTTATGTGTTTTTTACTTAAATTAATGTTATTTGTAGTCGCTCATGCCATACGTGACACATATACAGCGATTAGTGATTTGATGCATGAGACAATAAAAAACTACCATATTAATGATAATTTCACGAGACAAGTTACGTGTTTGTTTATGATTAAAAAAAATAAAAAGAAAAAAGAAAACCAACCAATTTTAGAGTGATTTAGAGATTTCAGTTTGAGCATGTGAGGCTGCATATAGTTTGAGTTGGATGCAAAAACCTATTTAATTTGTTAATCATCTAATCATGCTCAAGGATAAGGAATTTAAATTAGATTCTATTTTGCTTTAAGTGGTTTATGGTACCAGTAGTCGGATGAGTTTTTCTTGCATTTGTTTCACTTGTACTATGATGTTTATGTTGGTCAATATTAACAATGTGGAAAGTCTTGCTATGCTGGTCGATACGCTATGTTGGTGGCCCTCCTTTTGCTGCTGGTGATTGATGAATTTGTGTTATGAAATTCCTTCTCTCCTTTCGCTATTTTGTTTCCTGTTTCCATTGCTTGCTCTTATGCTATGACAGTGTAGTGCTAGTATTTGCTTGCTCTTATGCTATGACAGTGTAGAGCATGATTAGATGATTAACAAATTTAAATTCCCCTGCCCTCAACTCCCTCATCAAAGCAATGAGGGATGATTCAACCCTGCTGGCATATGAGGCCTCATATAGGTTGGGTTGGATGCAAAAACCTGATGCTATCCCTGCATTAAAAGCTGTTGTAGATAATCTTTCATTGCATCTCATTGTTCGCCTAAAGGCTACAGAATCTCTTGGTGCATCTTGTTTAGAGACAAGTATTCCAGTTTTGGAGACTAGTTTCCAATTGGATCGATATCAAGAAGTTCGAGATACATGTGAACAAGCTCTTAATCGAATCAGGGAGCTAAAAAATGCTACCCCCATTAATTAGTATATTGGGCTTCGAACTAGCTCCACCTATTTTTGGTGTGGTTGGAGTAAATAATTAGAATCTGTTTCTTATTTTATTATTCAGGCGTAAGACTTTCCTATATCTCAGTTTTTATATTTCCATTTCAACTTGGTTAACTTATTGCTTCAGTCTCTATCTATGCATATTTCTCTTCAATTATTCATGGTTTATAAGTGTGTTGAGATTTCAAAACTAATGCCTTGGTTAAAATTCTCTTTAAATTGTATGGATGACTGGAATGAGGTTTTACTTTATATTGATTTTTCAATATACAATCAATTATACACGTCCATTGCCAAATTGAGTGGAGAAGTTGTTATAACCATACTGAAGGAATATGTACAGTTCACTAAAGGCGTGCAAATTAGAGTATGATGCATACATATTTTATTTCTCGTGTACGGTTGTATTATATTTCTTGCATATTTTGATTTTATGGACTGTTTTATATCTCTTGTGGATTGTGTTTGTAGGATGAGATGGGGACTGAGGCATCCAAACTTTAAAATGCATATTATTGAATGATTTCATATCTATACAAGACTCGATATTTTTCACCATGTCAACTACCTTCCAATGTATGCAGTATAGAGAAAGAGTTAGAAGTAGAACGTGCTACTCGAAAGTTAGAATATGCAGTTCGAGTGAAGATGGAGCAAATGATACAAAATAAGCTGAAGGTAGTTGAGCAACAATTCAATAATACGTTGTGAGAACGTGCAGCATATCTATTTCATGAGGGTGAAGGGTTATATTTTTTTTAGATGCGTAATAATAGATATAGATCATTTTTTCTACTATTTTTAAGTTTAGATGTAACCATGCTAAGTGAATATTTTTTATTTGAGTTTTGGTGTAACATTTTGGATTCAAGGTTACATTGATTGACACTACATGTCTTAATTAATTTATTGTCTTTTTGCATTTTTATGTTACTTTGATAGGGTTATTAAAATTAATAAAATATCAATAATAAATAATTTAATTTCTTCCTACAAATTATTTTATTATTGAGACAAATAATATGCTTTCCCAAAAAAAAAAAAAAAAATAGAGAAAAGCATGGCTTAGCCCTCGACATAATATGCACAATATTGTCACAATTCTTCAATTGTAGGGAAAAATATGTTTACTTTATCCCATAAATACAATTTTCACACAATTTATTTGTAGGGAACAACAAGATTTAGCCTACAACATAATTTGTGGGGAGATGTGATATTGTTTTGTAGGCCAAAGGTAACTTTAGTAGACGAAAGATTTTGTTGGGAAAAAATTTACGTGACGTATTGTATTTGTCTCTAAATAATTCGTAGGGGAAAACCTTTGTCCACACATTTCAAAATTTTGTAGGGTAAGGTCTTTCCCCTCGATATTTGCCTCACAAATGTGCCCACAAATTTTTTTTCTGCGAAGAATTTTTTCCACAAATAAGAATCTTTTTGTAGGGAAAATATAAAATTCTTTTAGTGAGTGGTGCTCAAAGTGTCGTTGCGCGCCGTGCTCAACAGTGAACACAACTGCGTGGTACTCACATCACCGCATAATTGTGGTGTTAGTGATCGAGTTTTTTAAGGGAGAAGATAAAGAGTGAAGGGAGAGGAAAACGATTTAAAGTTCGAGAGTAAGATTTAGTAGAGTGGACAGAGGCGAAGGGAGAGGGGGGTTGGGCTGCCCAGCCCCAGCCCAAAAGCAAATGAATTGATAAAAAATGGAAAATTTTGCCCAAATTATTGGTGAAACAAAGAAAAAAAATTTAACCCAGCCCAAATTTTAATCTTTGCCCAATTAACTTCATTCCCAACCCAAGCCCAATGTTCAATTATTCAAATTTAAATAGTTCATTCATAATCAAGTTAGTTTATTATTAGGAATAATTCTTATTGATTAAAGTAAAAATAAATAATTTATTGTAAGATGTCACATGTTTGACTAATCTTAAAAGTAATTAATTTTTTCTAACGTATTTTTTCATATATTACTTATCTGTTCTTGTGAGTTAAAACCTTATTTATTTCGACCACGAAATGAATATTATTATAAAAATAAGCAATATGTTCTATATTTACTTTTATCAGTTAAAAATATATTTGTTAGAACTTCGTCATAAATGTTTAAGAATATATCTTGACCCATTTTGTCATTAGCTTCTAGAGTTTAACATTTTAAACTAAATCTCGAAGGGCAAAAAGTATATATGAAAAAATTCAATTTTCAGCTCACCTCAACATATATTCTTGAATCCGCCCCAAGGAGTGGAGTGGGGTAAAGTGGGGTGGCGTGGGATGGGGTGAGAGTGGGTATATAAATTTATTTAATTTTGTGATATTATTATTTAATATTACATAATTGAATTATCACCTAATTTTTTAACAAAAAAATTTTAAACCTGATTTTTGAATTGAAAAGCTAAAAATCTGTGTAAATGTAATTTCCACTTTTTTAAATGCAAAACAAAGATCCACATGCCCCTGAAAACAAACACAAATAAGCAGAAAAAGAATGGGAAAGGGAGAAGACATTTAAAGGCCTGAAGAGCTTCCATATACTAGGCAATTATAGCCAATTTCTGAAATACAAAGTACCTCAACAATTTACAAATAATTATCTCAACTCAAACGCGAAAAAAATGTTCGAGTTGCTCTTCCTCTATTTGTTCCCCATTAGGGCGAACAAAGTAAAATTTTAAAGTGTAGCTAGTCCGGCTTACTCTGTATCACTATCTGCTCATCACTAGTGACCCAAGTTATGAACTATCTACTTTCTTCAGCTGTCTTAGTGTACACAAATTCTTTTCTTTGCATTTTTTTTTTTTTGGCTTGTTTGGTAGAGTAGACTATATCCGTCCCTTCCAGTACGGTACTGCACCAAACATTTCTGAAAACTCTCAATGGGCTGTCCTGCTGCATGCAATATTATCATCCTGTTCCAAATCCCTTCAAATCCACGTTTGCTGATGTATCAGTATCAGCAGCAGCAGCAGTGGTCATTGGCTCGAGGATGAATCGACATCTCCAATAGAATCATTATGAACCATACCAACTAGGCCTAAACATATAGCCAGATGCGTCCTCGGCACTTGAGTCCTTGGTGCTATCTGTACTATATGAACCAGCATCCGATACACTCAAAATTGAAGAACTATCACTTGACGAGTCCACGAAAGGATTTCTTTGCCTCAAACCCTCGGTATCTAGTATGTGATCAGTGGGAGTTATCATAATAGGGTATCTTCGAGACCGCTGGTTATGCATTGTAGTATCAGTGCTCTGCTCCATTGGGAGTTTTGTCTTCAAATTTCTTCTCTTTCCACTGCTACTCAAAGAATTGGTTTCCAAGTTCCTGCTACTACTGCTATCCCTTGCCAAAGATGGACCTCTTGGATTGTGCCTAAAAAGTTTTATACTTATTTTAAAGAAATACTACAGAACCCATATTTTAATGGAAATCAACTTTCGACTTAGAATTACCGTGCATAAAAAAGAATATACGCCTGTTTGGACAAAACAGTCTCCAAATCCACAGGTATCACCTACACGACAGAACATATTGAATCATCATTATGTATAATATGTACACCATCTACAGCAAGTCTTCGTTATTCTCTCTCATATAACTGAAATGGTCATAGAACTTCCAAATTCCATTTCACAATAAAACAAGATATTCAAATATCAACAAATTCTGTTTGCTAGCAGATGAGAGATGCAAGAGGCAGTCACACATACAGTTGCTATTTGTGGCCTGCTCAGACACGTGTACCTTCACATTTAAAAGTTCACTGGGACCAGACAACAGATTCTCAGCTTTTTGCATATCTTGAATCCCCAAAAAGGAGAAGAAAGCAAATTACAACAGCATCCTATTCACATATAATGTTAATTTAACAATGAAATGGAATCTCAATGCGACGGGTACATGCAAGCAAGGAAAAAGAGCTGTTTTGAATACCAGGATAGCTTAGACAACTGGTTTCTCGTGGTGCAAACCAAGAGAGTTCAAACAAGTGGTAACTCCAGTATTCTAGTGATTTCTTTGGTAAGGGAATGTGTACTTGTACAAGTCTGTCATCCTTCACGGGGGTGGGGGATGTTGGTTGTTAGAGAAGGGGAGGCAGGAAATTTGAGGAGAAAAAAATGAGGGCAATGGCTAGTACTGGCTGGGCCGCTGGGGTTAGGACCAGTTCACTTCTTGATGAATCACTTTCTTCTAATTTTCTATTATTCTACATTTGGTCAATGGAAAAAAAAGTTATGCGCAATTATAGTGAATCTCCTGAAACCCATTAAATAAAAAGGCATTACGATTCTGAAAAAGCAACAGCCTCTAGAACCTCCTCCAAGAATGATGTCATTGAAACCCAATGGATGTAAAACAACTGATTCAGCTAACATTGAGAAGCAAAAATTTAATTCTGAGACTGAGCAGACACAAGTTGAACTATAGCAAAGTAAAGGCCAATTTAGAATGGGTGCATTAGAACATACCCTGCTGTCATCAACTCTAAACCAATCTCCCTGGAAATCCTTGACATAACTAATATAGTGACCACTGTAAGCAGCATTCATAATATCCAAGTGAACAACCAGTCCATAAAGACTATATATGGGGCATTTATCGTTTGTTCCACTCATAAATGGAGCAAGGTTCAGAACCTCAGGAAACTGAACTAGCTTATCCAGCTTCCCTAAGTTGCCAGACTGTAAACATCAATGAAGGGCAAGAATTAGAAGTCGTGCACCAAAGAATAAAAATAGAGAATAACATAAAAAAAATACAATGATGACTAATGATAAACTACCCGAAATCGCTTCAGGACAATTGTAAGGATGTTAGGAGCCTCAAGCACTGTCAACTTCTTCTTAGCTTTCTGATATGATTTACATCTGCAAATGTTATCAGAACAGGATCCATTAAAATAATGAAAATCATGCATTAAGTACAAGCCAATTCCTTTTGCGTAACATAGGAATGTTACAGTTCCCAAGGGATCAATTCCCAACCCCATAAATTTGTATAAGGATCAAGTCTAGCACAAAAAACATAAAAAGAACAGTATAACATCAGCAACAGCAATGACTGATGAGGATGAATGAAGAAAAGCATTTTAGTGTATCCTTTGTACGATACTAAACTAAAGACGCTAGAACCATGGAAAATTCTTCTAGACTAGGACAATTAGGAACATGAGTAAACCTGCAGCACTTGTATTTGTTATCTCCAGTAAGAGTTTCAGATGTCGTGAATTGCACAAGAGCCTCTTCGAGAGTATCAATATTCCCACCTATCTCCACAGTAAGATCCATCATCCGGTCACACCGCTCTGATCTTCCTGAACACTTCATGCACTTTATCTGGAATTTAATTTAGAAGCATTAGTAAGAACTTGTAATGAAATTACTGCTACCTAAATCAAATTAACTTGTATGTTTAAACCAAGATGGTTGATCAGAAGAAATCAGCTTATTACAAAGACACACCTTTGAACGAAGATAACCGCCAAAAGTTAGACCTACAAGGGTTGATTCTTCATCTAACTGGCCTGCAATCCCAGCTTCTTCAAGGCAAATGGATTGCATTGTTTCTACCACACACCTGACACCTCAGAAAATTGTGATTAATATATTAAGTTCAAAATTCTACACAAAAAGCAAACCCTTCATGCCGGTAACCTTCCCCACCTTAAAAATTCATGAGCATCTTCTTCTCTTCCATGACTTAGATTACTTCCAATCTTTTGTATTTGAGACAGTACCCCAATCGGAGACAAAGGAGATTCCATTTTTTGTCCCTTCAGAAGAAGAAATTCGAACTCACAAATAAAACACCAATCCTGCTTCTTACCTGAGATCATAGCTACATGTGATAAGATAAAAATGGGACCCACAAGATC